ACTTACCCCGAGTTTCTCTTACCCTTACCTCGACAGAGGAGCGAGCTCCTTTGAGAGACGATGGGACTACAATAACTTCCCGAAAAGTCAGCCGCGAAGAGGACGGACTTGGTTGCTAGGCTTTCACTTTAACTGGGCTATAATCGCTTGGAAAATGCTTGTATGCACTCAAGACCTATTGTTCCTCCATACTCATTCAAAGTCTACGATGCACTGACGACGAAGGTTGTTCAAGGAGGAAGTAATCTATGTTCCGCAATAAACGAAAGGCTACGGTATTTGCCAGATTTCTTGCTTGATTTTTTGCTTCTCCCCTACTTTTTTCACTACAAGGCAGAGGGTTCACTTTATAGCATCTCTCATGCATTGGCGCTCGAACGTCTAATGCTTTGTCTTAGCACGGAATAGTTTTTCGTCTTACGGAACAGATAGCCTCAAATTGGTTGCGGGTCAAGAGCAGCAATATGGCAAATCCTTCTCTCCATTTGGTGCAGTGAGACATTTTTGACGGTATTTTTAAATTGGACCTCGGAATCAGTACGAAATGCGGAAAACCATCCCATTCTAAGAACCCTTACATTAAAGGAAGCAGTCACGCTGGCTTCCACGCTGGATTTGCTACCCTCGCGTTATCAATCGATAAGGTGTGAGGCAGTAATTGTTGGACGAGTGTAAGCCCATGGAAGATATGATACGATGAGATAAGAAGGTGCGGCTGCTTGATAAGAGGTGCACTCCAGAATGAAAACGGGACGATAACGATAACGGTATCATATCTAGCACGCTCTTTTCCACATCGATAAGTCTTGGTTTTTGCTGAACGGAAGTGGATTTCGGCGCCTTATCACTCCGTTGATAAGGCGCCACTGCCACTGAAACTTCACGTGTTGTAACACTGGGCAGGACCTCTATCCACTCCAATACATAGCTTCCCTTATCGTTCCCATATGAAAATTATCGTGACCACTTCCTTTAAAGGAAACGAACAATGATTCAGTATCGGAACATTAGCTTTCACAGTAGGATCAAGCAGGAATTATCCGCCGTTTTCTTCAGGCTCATGGCTCTTGATTTTTTGCGAACAATTTCCGAAGACCATGACGCATTCTGAAAGCGTGCCATCTCTTGTACATGTCTTGATGTACAACGCTTGCGTATTTAGTTCACCATGGAGTCTACAGTCCATATCGGAGAGACAGGGTGGGCGGGGTGTGGGTACTTAGGACAGAACGCGACTTTTTCGCTCATCGCAACGCGACATCGCGCGGCAGGCTGGCGCACCCGCAGCGAAAACAACTACGGTATGGAAGAACGCGCGATTGGAGCAGCTTTTTTGCATGCGTGAATTTGTAAGTTTCTGATTCCTTACTTGCCCGCGCTCACACCCATTGTATTGATAAATGCGGTGAATCACTAATTCTGTCTCATTATTGAAAACGTTTTGTGACTTACACGATTCCGGGCGATGCCACACAAATGGTGTTTTACGAATTATCGGTGAACGAGGGTTTAATAGTGTCGCTTGTGCTTGCATTTTGTGGGTTCATATTGTTGTATAGACATCTGCATAAGGGTATAACATCTTTTACGGAACGCTTCTGTCCTCATCACGGATATGATACTCATTTTTGACGCTGGCGCCATTTGGGGCCGGGTGGCGCCACAACTGATTCCCACTAAATTCGCTGTAAACTTCTGTATAGGGTTATTCGGGGTCCTGATTTGTTGTTAGCGCTATTCGGCGCCTGCTTCCTGCTCGTCTGCGCCCTCGCACTAATTAGATCGCAATAGGACTAAGCCTTTGAGTAGTGTAGGGCTCCAAAGTGGGTAGGCCATTCCCCTGTGGTCTGACACACTCCAACTTTTGCCTCACGGTGCGTGGTTTACCCACTCAGGAGTTTCACTCCCTCCCCTAAGCTTAGTCGTAGGCGCTGTAGGTGAGAAAGCTTAGAAAAGCAGAAAGTATGCGTTAAACAGCACGAATGTGAAAAATGAGTGTCATATTCATGATCAGGGCCCCAACCCCTATGCAGAAGTTTACAGTCGTCTCATCAAACGTCCATCAACCATTCCTCTTCCAGGTTCTCCAGAAGCTCTACCATCCATCTCTGCAAAAATAACCTACCTCCCTTCACTGCTAGTTAGCGGTCCACTTCTGGTTACCATTTCCTCGTTCATTATCAAATCCATGGCTATTAAGCTTCAAACTCCTTGTCGCAATCAAAGCCGACACAAATATCGCGCTCCAATCGCGCGTTCTTATATACCGTAGTTGTTTTCGCTACGGGTGCGCCAGCCTGCCGCGCGATGTCGCGTTGCGAAGAGCGAAAAAGTCGCGTTCTGTCCTAAGTACCCACACCCGGGTGGGGGCGGGGCCCCATACGTGATTGCGGACTACACAAATTTAGTTGTCGCACTGATCAGCTAATATTACTTTCGTTGGTTTTTATTTATTTATTTAAAATACACTCACAAGAGTGTGCCCAGATGAGGGAAAAAGGAAATATCATTGTTGAGCAGAAAAAAAATCCATTGCAATATTTCTAGAAACTAAAAGGCTAATACCAGGCAGCAATATAAAAAGAAGCAGAAACGAAAACACAAAGTAAACAAAATTATAAATCAAAACTGACAGACCGACGGTTGCTTCAATTAGGCGATTTTGTACTCAGAGGCGCTCACAATAAGGTGAAGAAAGCGGGAGGAAACAGGCTAATAAGGAAATCCTAGGATGCTAGCGGTTGATACACTTCCAACCTTAAGGTGCTACCTGAGCAAATAACCGACAAGGTATGAGCAAGCACAGCACACACTTGTTCTGAACTTTTCCGAATTCATGAGATAAGATCAATGAAGTGGTGGTGGATGGCGCTAGGGATAACGCCACTCGACAAGAGCACAAGGGCATGCAAGTCGAACCACGAAACCAGATTTTCGGATGTTAGGTATTCCCTACCCCTAACAATCTGATTTCCGACCCACCAGAGCATAGTGAGGAGAACAGAGTGTGCGTGCAAATCAAGGAGTAGAATTAAAGTGGTATCGTCGGTACACCGATTTAGCCGGAAGGCATTAAAGACCACACAGCACACTAGGAAGAGAGAAAGCTAACCGTACAAGAGGAAAAGAAACTCACTATGTAGCTACAAACGAACGAAGTCAACGGGACAGAAAACTGGTTTAGAAAGAACTAAAAACTGCAGCCTGGAGACAAAATACTTGTGGGGAGGACCCTTGTTAGAAGACAAGCCGTAATACTGCTGAAGAAGGAAACTTCACTGACGATCGTGACACAGGGTTGATGCTCGCAGGTGTCGACGATAGCAAAAAAAGCGAGCCAAAATGGCAAATACTGCAATGAAATTAACTTCACAAAGCATCATCAAGACCCAAAACTCGAAGTAAATCAATTTTCTTCAACCTGCTCCTGAATACCTGACTGTTTTGAGAACACATAACATCACTGGGTAGACGCTGAAACCATCGCGCCACTCGACATAAGAGAAAATCGAAAAGTCGACTAGGGATCCTTCTTGGGATGTTCTGATAGTGCAAGCTAAAACCACTAGACCTTTCACTACTCGGCCTGAAAATCCAATACTTACTTGGTGTCAAGTTCAATTCTTTACGAAGTAGTTGAAATCCAAAAACAAGGTCAGCAACTGTTCTTCTATAAAGCAAAGTTTTCAACCTGAGAGTTCGCAACCTTTCATCATAAGGTGGTAAATTACGCCTGTACAGTCTGTTGTTCATCCGAAGAAGGACTAGTCTGGTAAATGTATGCTGAACACGCTCTAACCTCCGAATATCTTTTCTGCGGGTAGGATTCCAGACCTGGGAGGCATACTCTAAGTGTGGCAATACATAGGATTTATAAAGACGAAGAAGAATGTGGGCCTTGTTGCTGCGAACATTTCTAAAAATGGAAACAGTGAAGCATAAGCCTTAGTGGTTACATGCTCCACGTGGGAGGAAAAATTCAAACTCTTGTCAATTATGACCCCAAGGTCCCTAACAGTATCGCATCTTCTTCAGCGAGACTCCATTCACACTATAATCTATAGCAGCTATTCTTCCCATGTGAAATACAAAACACTTATTCAAATTAATAGACAAGTCGAGGTCGGAAGCCCACAACATCAGATTTTCGAGGGATTTCATGAGAGTATTACGAACTTCCTCGCAATTAGATTCATCATAACACCCATACAATTTGATATCGTCCGCATATATTTGCAGTTTAATGCTCTTAGAGATATTAAGGATTCTAGGCAAGTCAATAGTATAGATCAGGAATAGAAGAGGGGAAAGCACCCCGCCTTGTGGCACTCCACTGGGGCAATTAACGGTTTGTCTTGATTTCACTATTTTTGATCCTTATCATTTTGTAGTTCCGCGCGGGGAGGGGGGGGGGGACAACCGAGAGCGATGGTAGTCTTACAGTGGGACAGTTTACCCATTATGTGGCTGTTTTCAAAAATAGCGCGCCCAATCTGGGGTGACAAAGCACTGGTAGAGCAGACGAAAACAGCGCCGCGCCATCGCGTGCCCCCCCCCCTCCTTCGAACCCGAGTTTGGCTCATTTGTGTATGTGCTGCGCTTTGAAGCTTACACACTTGCAAAAAGGATTGCCCCTGCCAAATGAGTGCAATTTGAGCTCAAAACCAAATGCTTCTGCACATGCTCGTAGAATCAGCGAAGCCTGGGATAGAGGCGCGGTTGCAGAGCGGACTGCCCGAGAGCGTTGTTGATTACGCTTTTATTGTTGTTTTGGGCGCAATGTGGGGGCCACCTCGCAACATCGCGTCAAAATCACGGAAACGCTCCGTTTTAGGACTAAGCTTTTGAAGAGGAGAGGAACTCCGGTGTACGGAAGCAATTTCGTATTCTCCGGAGTTCGTCCCTGCTGTTTAGGCTTAGTCCTAGATGACTTTTCTCAGAGTGGCCCCCGAGCCACATTGCGCCGTTGTTTCGTTTGGTTTTTTTTTGAAAACTTATGAGTGAAATGGGTTCAAGGGATCGATTCGTTCTTCTTGCACTCAATCGGTCGTTTGAAGAGAATAATTGTTGATGCAGCCCCATGGCGGGCGGAAGTGGAGTAAGATGGCAGGTGGCACGCTGTTACCGCATGAGCGCATCCCGGGTCAAATCCGTGCATCCGTTCCGAGACAATACTATAAGTCATATCGGGGGTCGAAAATTTAGTTACAGTCTTATACTGGAGGATAAAATACTGGTTTGGAAACGGCGGCCCTGCAATCATTGTACGGGGGTCGGGGCCAATTATTGAGGACGCGTGCGCGCAACGCTGGATTTTCCACTTTTACGGATGGTATCCACTTCATTCCTGTTTCTCTGGACACAGATGTGAGACGGGTTGCAATGCTCTTTCCTAATGAAAGTATTTGTCCAAGTGTTATGCTGGGTTTCTCAAAGTAATGTGATAACAACCAAATCCGTAATCAGTCATTCAAATTAGAACTCATAAGGGCTACTGGCACATCTACATCTAGCGCAGGCCAGACTAATTATCAGCATTGGCAGAACCAGGTCTCCCCTTTAGTCGGCTTATCGTTATCCCAGAATGAAAAAATTTGTTGCCGGAAAAACTAGCAGACACTTCTAAACACTGCACCTGGTTAGACTTGAAGCAGTTCAAGGAACAAATCGCGAACATTTCATTCCTACATTAAAACGCAACAATATTTTTCGAATGCGTTATTTTGAAAGAATGGCTACAGATTAGAACTATCATATAGATAGGTCCTATTAATCAGTATTTTATACGACGGAGGCGAGGGCAAATAAATGCCACAAAACTTTGATTCCCTGAAAAAAGCAGAAGGCTTGGAACATTTTGACACGCCTCAGTTGCGTGCTTCCCTCTTCATCTGATGGCTCGTGTAAATGGGGCAGGTGGCCGATCTCAAATCTATTCTGGAATTACTTTGGGATAAGAGTTACAAACACTCTCCTAGTTGTGTTTTTTGCCACTGGACATTACAGTCCATATCCGGCAGACAGGGTGGGCGGGGCCATTGACGTGATCGTGGACTACACAAACTTGATAGATGTCGCAGCGATCAGCTAATTTATATTCGTTGGTTTCAACTATTGCTCGGATGGCTGCAGTACTTTTGTTATTCTCTTGATACTATCTGCTTTCTTACTGGTCTTAGGGTAAGTAAGTTTACTCGTAAAATAATTATTGCAGTTTGTGCATGAGATATGGACATGTTTTCTCACAGATTCGAAATCTAAGCGTGGTTTTTCACCTTCGGTAAATTTCTCTACTTCTTTTTTGCTTTTTATTTCTTGCGTTGCATGCAGTTTTCATAGCAGTGTCATTCATGTGTTCCTTTCATTGTCAAGAACAATTTTTGACGCTGCTTTGAAACTTGCACTCTACGAGCAACGCATTTTGCATGGTCTCGCCAATATCGTAAGGTTTGTTCTTTTTATTTTTATTTTGCTTTTGTCCATCCAACTTGTTCTTCATTACAGCATCATTTATATGTTCTCTTTGTGTGCGGAACATTATTTGATGCTGTGTTGAAGCAAGTTGTCGCTTTTGTGCATGTCTTTTCCAGGTGGTGCTCCAGTCACCGTCCCTTCATCTGATGCGTGAGGTTTCTTTTTCATTTCTCGTTTTACTTTTTTACTATCGACTTGTTGTTCACCACATGCATCTATTTGTGTGTTTCTGTTGTTGGTGTGGACACCATTGTGTGGTGCTGTTTGAAGGCAACTTCGGGTGATTTTTTGCATGCAATTTTCCAGAACGTGCTGCCGTTCTCACATTACCACCGACCTTCTAGGAAAACAGTTTCAGAAACTTCGATTTCAGTTTTTTCTCGAATCTTGTTCCGACGATCAAGCTTAATATTTACTTTCAAAGCTTTTTTCATCTATGGGAGTCCTGTCCTCTGCGGAGTATGATGCCGCTCCGATTTCCTCATACACTGGTCGCAAGTTTCCGTAGCCTTTGTTCGAGCTATCTCTTTACATGTCGCATAAGGTTTCTTTTTTTGCATGCACCATCTAATAAACACTATTTACTAGTCATTGTTCAAATGAACACCTGCATGCACAGAAGTAGGGTCAGTGCTTATGTAAGAAGAAGAGAAATCAGGAAACAACAAGTTGTTAGTAGCAATAGCGTAATCATGGTAAATGGTGCAATAAGAGTAACAGGAGCCGCTCATATTCATAAGGTACCTTCGAAACACGAAACCGGTAACAGGTAGTATGCAGCGGCTGCAAAGAATAGAAGCACAATATTTTAGTGTCAGAAAATTGGGGCAGCAACTTACAAGAAGATGCCAATCAAGGATCAACAGTATGCTTAAGTGTGGAAAAGCAAATAACCACCTTTTGCGGGAAGGTTCGATCAAATTATTAAGTGCATGCGGGAATAATGAACAAACAAAAGCGCGCTTCGCGCGCAGGGCAAGGGAGGTAAACCCCAACATGCCGCCCAAGCACGCGCGCGGCGAGTTCAGCGGCCCACCACGATCACTCTTTGCCGGTTAGGGCATGGTGAAGAGTGGAGCTCTGCTGAACTGGTGCTTGAGCCATCATCCACGTTATCCATAACGGGCGCCTAGTATAGTGCGCGGGGTTGCTCGACGCATTCTCTCCCCCATGAGAGAGCGCAGAGAAAACGAAAGTGGGAAGAGAGAGTGTGTGTCCGTGACTTTCATACGAGCTCGGATACGGTAGCGCGCGCGCGAAGTAAGTGGTGTGAATACACGCTGCACGCGGACAATCTGTCTGGTTAGCTTCCTCGCTTACAACCCCAGTTGGGGCCGTTCGCAAGCTTTTTCGCAACCCTTGATACAAGCTACCAAACTATTATGACATTTGGTGTTTTGTGTTTCATTTATTTCTCCGCATGCACTAATAATTGTATCGGAACCTTCCGCAAGTGTGTGGTTTGATTTTCTTTTCCACATCTAAGCATACTATGATCCTTGGATTGCATGCTTCTGTAAGTTGCTGCGCTCAACTTTTCTGACACTAAATATTGCTTCTATTTCTTTGCAGCCGTGCATACTACGTTACACGTTTTTGTTTTCGAAGGGTACCTTATGATATGATGCGGCTTCCTGTGTACTCTTTTGCACTCATTTATGATTACGCTATTGCTACTAACAACTTGTTGTTTCCTGATTTCTTCTTCCTTAATAAAAACTAACACTACTTCTGTGACATGCAGCTGTTCATTTGAACAACGACTAGTAAATAGTGTTTATTAGATGGTGCATGCAAAAAAAGAAACCTTATGCGACATGTAAAGAGATAGCTCGAACAAAGGCTACGGAAACTTGCGCGAGTTAGATGAGGAAATAGCGGTCAATAATACTCCGCAGAGGAACAGGAATCCCTATACCGAATGAAAAAGCTTTGAAAGTAAATATTAAGCTTGATCCTCGGAACGAGATTCGAGAAAAAACTGGAAATCGAAGTTTCTGCAAATCATGCTTTTTCCTAGAAGGCGTAGAACGGCAGCAGCGGTTTGGGTGAAAATGGCAGTGCAAAAATCAACGAGTTGCTTCAAACGAGCACAAAGGTGTTCCACACTAACAAACAAAACACACAAAAGATTGCTGTGTAGTGAAACAACAAGTCGATAGTAAAAGAATTAAAACGAGAATGGGGAAAAAAGAAACTCACGATTTCAGATGAAGAGGACGGGTGACTGGGAAGCACCACCGGTAGAATAGACATGCCACAAAGAAACAAATTGTTCAACACAGCATCAAATAATGTTCCGCACAGCAAAGAGAACATATAAATGATGCCGTAATGAAGAACAGTGTGGATGGACAAGAGCAAAATAAAAATAAAAGAACAAACCTTACGATATTGGCGAGACCATGCAAAATGCGTTGCTCGTAGAGTGCAAGTTTCAAAAGGCAGGGCGTCAAAAATTGTTCTTGACAATGAAAGGAACACATGAATGACACTGCTATGAAAACTGCATGCAACGCAAGAATAAAAAGCAAAAAAGAAGTAGAGAAATTTACGGAATGTAAAAAAAAACACCCACGCTTAGATTTTCGAATCTAGTGGAAAACATGAGTATCTCAATGCACACTGCGATTTTTTTACAGTCTACGTTACCTTTAAACCGTAGAAGAAAGCGGAATAGTGTCAGAAGTAAGATAATCAACAATTACTGCCAGACATCCGAGATTAGTTGAAATCAAGAATATAAATCAGGCTGATCGCTTGCGAACAATCTAATAGTTTTGTGTTAGTCCGCATATCACGTCCATGGCCCAGCGCCACCCTGATCTGGCCGGATATGGAGTTGTACATGCGTTATTAACGACGCAATGTCGTTGGATCTCATTAATGTTTGGCCACTCTCTTTGAACCACATCGCATGAAACGCCACTTGCGAGATGTTAAAGTGGAAAGTAGAGTGCGATGCCCGCATCCCAAGGCGGGACTGACCAATGGCAGAAGATTTATCCTTTCCATGCCAATGGAAAGGGAGCAGGATATACGGTAATCGAAGTGAACCTTCGAAATTCACGCCAAAAACGCGATTTTCGCTTTTTGTCTTGTTGTTATAACTCGGTTTAAATCGAGTTTCTCAAAATCGGAAGCTCAGTTGAACTCAACTTGTCGGGATTCCATAGGAATATGCTCTGAGGTCTTGAAAAAAGCTTATCCAAAGGAGTACTGTAACTTGTTGTTTTTTGTTGATTATCGCGAGCTGAAATAGTGGTGGAGTCATCCACAAAGTTTATAAGCAAGAAGAAAGTGCCTGCAATGCTTTATTAAACGCTACAGACGGAACACGCAAGAAACACAGACTTCTCGTGTGTGGAACCATCGCAAAACTAACGCGGAAGAAATCGCTGTTATCATGCAATTCCATGATATTCAGTAACGATACGGTTGAACGAGCAATAGCTAAGGGGACAAGGGGATTTCCTTTAAACCGAGAATTGAAGTCGATGTAGGGTGTAAAGCTAATATGGTGGGACAGCCTTATTTCACGCCAGACCGAGTAAGAGGCGAATTCTTCACGCCAATAACGCCATGACACGTGAGGAATCGTTGTGTACACCATTTCCTCATGGTTTCTTTGGTTCCTCACTATCTGTCAAGGGTAGTGAGAAGAAAGGAAATTAGAACGGTGGATAAGAGGAAACAGGCAAGGATTAAAATTGCTAACCTTCGCTCCTCCCTCCATCTGAGGCTTAATCCCAAAATGAGCACTGTATTTTTTACAGTTACATTCTAGCAATCTCTTTAGCGTTCAGAAAGGGGAGATTATAAAGAAGTAGAGAGGAATACAAGATGTTGTTGCTGGTTTCGGCAAGCAACTCGACTTTTGCAAATGCGGATGTGAAAATATTCTACCAAAAAGCTAAGTTCAGGTCGAAATTAGCTGTGTCCGTTACCTTAACATGTAGCAACTCGCTAAAGGTTAAGCGGTTGTTGGGGGGAGGGTTGGTTCGAGTCTAGCCTAGACGAAGTGCTTCCCTTCGCTCAACATTGCTTTCATGAAATTCGTGCCTCAATCTGAAGGAAGAGGCAATGTCTGAAGTTAGATTCATATCGAAAGATTAGTTATTCAGAATTTAAGGATAAAGGATAAAGCATTTGCCGTTGATCAATCCCTTTTGGGATGCGGCACGCATTCTACTTCCATTTGTACATTCGCAGTGGCATTTGAATGCGATGTGGCCTATACAATGACTTGCGGGGGCCAGCCGATGTTCAAGTCAGTGTTTTTATCCTCCCAGACAAGTCTGGTACCAATTAACCGACCCCGGAGGGATGGAAGGCTTGGTTGGCCCGGGCGACTCACGACCCAGGATTTGATCCCCGGACCGCTCGCGTGGTGAGCGCGCCACTTGTCACTGCACCACTTCCGCCTTGATTTGTCGGATACGATATGAAAGCGTCTGGTCCATACCTCAATCGCTGTCGTCGCCTGTCAGAAACAAGACGACCCGAATTGCACTCTCAGTTAATGTTTGGGAAGCCATCAAGGGTTTCGGTGGATCACAGTGGTCGAACGCATAAGTTGTCACGACTATAGGGTATATTGCCTTAAAGGGAAGCCCATCGGGATCAGCTGACTGCTAGGAAGGGAACGCCGTCTTGCGTAGCACCACAACAGACCTTGCTGAAGGTTTGAGGCCTTTGATTACTCCAGTGTTTACCGGTTAGATTTCTCTAACCTTCGTTGCTCCACTTGTTCCATCAATTGTAGTCAGTCAGTCACTTACAGAAGTCTCTAGAAACTAATTATCCGGAGCTCTGCGTTCGACGATGACTTGGCAGACAGTACGAAGTCTTCTATACACTAATTTCGTACCACAGCCTCGTATGCGTGAAGTGGACACGATGATGAAGTCGGCAACAGAGTATATGGGGTAGAAACTGTGTAATGGAACCTTTTAGCAAGCAGGGGTTTGCTCATCTGGAAATGATTAAAGGGCAACTAGCTAATTGAGAGTCTGTCCAGCATCGCTTTGTCACCTCGCTTTGGGAAACTTAAGACGCACAGGAGCATCGCGAGGTCGCTCACTAAGATCTGCAGTGACAGTGCTCTAACAGTATTTAAAGCTGCTCCGCCATATAGAGTTGATACAAGATACTGAATTGAGTTCGGTTTGAGTAAGTGCGATTACCTGTACCGCCAGCCAACCTGCACTTACTTACGATGGAACCTCGTCTGAGGAAGCCATGTTAGACCGAAGTCACAATCGTCCGATCGCTCCATCGCTGTTCCGTGCGAGTGCTGACGGTGCGTCTAATGCATGCGATGGCTTGTTGTCTCGGTACTAACCACCGCCGTTTCATATTCCTGTTATACCTGACTGTGTTAGCGCAGATCGCGAAACTTATTTATAAGCACGGAAAATTTTTTGAAGGAAACACCGTCAATGTTGATATGCCCCGTATTGAAAGAGAAGTCAAAGTCCACAGACCCACGAGAAGTGCCAAACAAGTTTAGGGTAAACAAGAGTAGGACGAGTATCGACATGGCAGCAAGAATCAGTAAGAGTTTGTTAAGCTTCTTTTTTATTAAACGGAACGAATTTAGGGACGGATGCATGAAGATTTTTGCATGTAGAAGACTGGATAGCATGTTTTGATTCTGTCAGTTTTCTTATTTTAGCCGGTGTCAGAGCCATCCAGCGGAAATCGCTATCGAAAATCGCGGGAGAAGAGCTTGCACCCAGAGACTCGAGCTGTGTGTACCAGCGGTTTGAATGATGTAGCAGCGACTCGACACTGTTTGAAAGTGGTAAGACTCGAACGTTGGCTCTCGCGTTTTCCCGGTCTCATGAGGGCATGAGAGCTCCAGAAAGTGGCCCGAGCCAGCGCGCAAACGAGAAGGAGTTCGTAACTTTTCAACACTGTGACTCGCTGGTATATCTGTCCGATCAGCTGAAGACACTAGTATCTGAATACCGGGTTGGCAACGCTCGTGCTCGGCAATTCGCTGGAGAACCGCTAGATTCGCAAAGTCTGACACCAGCCTTGGGCGGGAAGACGCAAATGGATTTTCAAGACACTGTCTTTCTGATCATTTTCGGCTAGATAAAAGCCTGAAAGGAGGACTTTGAGCTTGGATTTTTGGTTATCGAGCGGATGTAGCTGTCCAGTGTTGTGTTCAAAGCAACATTGAAAATGTCGGATATTCTTTATTCAGCCAGCACAAAACTGGTAGACGAGCGAAAAAGCATAGGATTATCTGGCTAAACGGGGAAACCGAAGCAGAAAATGCTGTCAATCTCATGTACGTACGCTAGTATGCAAAATGAACAAGTCAAGTAGTTTATGGTTAGGCGCTCATGCCCTTAGGGAGACATTCAAAACAGGGCCGATGGTAGGCAATACTCGGGATAAGCCCAAGAGTGGGGTAGAGGGTCGGGGAAAACACTAATTGCTCTCATTCTCTGAATCCCGGCCCTACTAAGTCATTCGCATGTTCTACAAGTTTATTTGCGTGCCTAAATCTGGAATACCGTTGTTGTTTCTTTCCTTCTTTCTTTTTCTGTTTCTTTCGCCTGTGGTTGTTTCTTTCACCAGCCACTGTTTCACAGTTGGGCAGCTTGTATTTGTGACGTTCCGATCCAAACGGTAGACGTGTCCATTATCTCCAGTTGGAGCTTGTACGATCCCATCCCCAGAAGCAGCAACTGGGAAGCAGGTGCCAGACTAAATGCAAAGAATCAAATAAAATCAGTAATATCAAAAAATGTTAGAAATTGGTAGAACGAACTCTAGCAGGTGATGCTTTCGCGCAAACGGTACATGCTTCCTTAAAGGAACCGATCACGATAAAGATGGAGCGCATAGGAAAAGTCTTGCGTAACGAAGCAGAAGAATGGCTGCCAAGTAAGCGAGGTGTGCCCAGGGTTAACCCTGCTTTGCGCGAATTCCATAATTTTTACGACCCCCTCTCTTTAGAGGGTATCAGTACGGCTCCCCTGTATTACTACTGTATTAGCTATTTATGTCCTTTAACAAATTTTATTCACAGGTCATCCACTGCGGAGCTCCTCCACCCTTAGCCTGACAGAGGTGTCCATTCTCCTGGTCCAGGACCGTTCCCTTGGGTCATGGCAGGCGGAAATGTGAAAACATCTCAGGGTTTCTTCCACATTACACCGATACTTATCAGAAGTCTACTTTAAATGAGTCGATTACGTGTCGTGAGCGCCTCCCATTATCTTGAGTATTGGAGAAAAAGGAGTGCCCCCCCCCAACTGGAGTTTCACCGGTTAAACAATCTTCAAGCGATGAACATTTAAACTTCAGTAGTTGTGAGAGATGCTCAAAAAACTAACGTAGGCGTAAACGGCAATACAGTCCGACTGTTCGTAGCACTTTTTCAGGCAATCTTTAACGTCACCGGAGAACGTCGACAAAGACTTCGCTTTGAACACCGTAGAAGGAGGAAGTTTTGTGAAGGTACAGGACAGACCTGGAGTAACCTGGAATGGAATTTTGGCAGAAGTTGAGCTGAAAATTTTTCAGCGCGAAATTTTTTTAATACCCTCCG